CATTGATTCCCCCCACAGAAGAGAGTAGTAGTATGACTAGTATTAAGTCAACGAAGATTAGTTAGCCTATCACAATTAGAGTTGATAACTACTATACAGAGTACAAACATTGATTTCAAAGCGGAGGAGGTGTGTATGTATGTATGTCCCTTTGGCATGGAAAAGAAAAGAAAAGAAAAGAACAGATGAAAATCCTAGGACAAGGGTAGAATGTAGGACAGAGACGTAAGATGAACAAATCAATGTGTAACGACATATGCCTCACTCGAAATTCCCTAACTACTCCTCCTCACCGAATCAAAGGGAGGAGAACGGCTCAATGTCTCCTGAATGTAATTTAGAACGTAAATTTATATTTACATTTATATTTATATAACAGTTTCAAATAGATAATGAACAATGGTATGCATTGACTAAGATAAATAAGATAAAGATGCAACAACTACAAATCACAACTACGACCACCCCTCCCAACCACACACAACTACAAAAGCCTCCATTCCTCATCGCGCAAACTCAGTCCACAATTTCCCCGCCCTCCCCGCCAGCGACCCCGACTCCGGCAACGCCTGCACCAACCCCCCACAGATACTTTGCCGCCTCCTTCGCACAGCAGGCACGCTTGATACTACTGCTCCCAGCACTACCACCACCACCACTATTACTATTACACGGTCGCGGCCGAGGCAGCGGCAGAGCAAACTTCGCCGTGCCACAGCCGGCATTCATGAACGAAGAGGGAGTGGAGGGCGGCGGTGACTGTGGCTGCGGCTGCGGCTGCGGCTGCAGTTGCACTTGCATCTGTATCGGTTGTTGTTGTGGTACTTGAGAGACGAGAAACGAGTCAGCAACCTGTGTATCTGGGGCGACAACGGTGTTGCCATCATCCTCGTTGCTTCGGAGGGTGTGGAGGGAGGAAGGCGACGAAGAAGAGAATGAGAGGAGTTCTTCGCGCACTGTGGTGTGTAGGGCGAAGTCGTTGGAGGGGGTGCGGGAACGTTTGCGGGAGGTTCGGGTGGTGATTGTGGTGGTTGATGGAGTGGAGGGTTTCGAGGGTGGTGCGGATGAATTTGCGGCGGTGTTGTTGTTGGTTGGGTGGGAGATTGCGTGAGAAGAGGAAAGGTGGAACGAGCGGGGCAGGGCACCGGAAGAGCTCGCAGAGGCCCTGAGCAGCTTCGTGGGCTAGGTCAATAGAAGATGTGTCCAGCGCGAAGCTGGAAAGTTGTTGGTCTCCCCATATTATTTAGCTCCGCGCAGACGGAGGTAGAGAATGATTCTGGTGACGCGTAGAAATCTGTCCAGCTCCCCTCATCGATGGTGGGTACGCTCGTTACCGAGGTAAATGACGAGGTCTTCCGGTATTCCTTCGCCGCAGGAGCGGCGAGCGAATAATTCTGCATGTTCGCGCATCGACGAGTCGCCCGCATAGCCAATCTTGGCTGCGCAGGCGCACAGGTCCCTGATGCGACGGATGAGATGGAGGAAGATCGTGACGAACGGGATGAACGGGACGACGATGATGCAAGAGAGGGCACGTCAGAGATCATGGACTCTGGTGACGAAGTTGACGAGGCGGATCGGGCCAGGGAGGAGCGGCGGCCTAGGTTGGAATAGGTCTCGGTAGGGGCAGTCTTATTAAAAGTACAATTGGGGCGGGAGTCCAAGGCAGTACGTTGTGCGCAGATACTGCGCGCTTGGGACATGGCGGCACAGATAGAGGGTTTCCGAGACAGAAATCCACCAACGCTCACAGCAGGAGTGTTGACGGTGTTTGTCTGTGGGGTCATCTGAGGAGTAGGGAGAGAAGGGAGCTGGGCACTCCTGCGCGATATGGGCTCGAGTGCTGGGAAAACAGTTCTCGATCCACCCTTTGTATTGCTTCATGAACCGGTAGCTGCGCTGCTGCTGGGGATGGT